CTCCAGACTCATTTTTTGTTTCAAAAATTATTTTTTTAAAGTTTTTTCAAGGTTTTCTTTAATAAATTTTGGTGGCGATTCCTTTAATTTTTTTAAAAAATATTTTTATTTTTAAAAGATATTTTTCTTTAACACGTTTTCGCTGTACCGTTGCAATTGACTTGATTGTGACACCCATCATCTTCAAAAGAGTTGTATGAATTCTTCAAAAAGGTTTTATATCTTGCTTTATACATTTTCAATTTATGACATTTAGCTTCATTATACAAGAGTCTCTTCACTTTAAACCCGCATAAGAACAATCTCAAGAAGACTTTATGTTTTGATTATCCTTACATGATTACCACTTTTAGTATTTTTCATAATAATGATAGTGATGATTTAAAAATGATTCTAATTTTTTACAAATATAGTAAGGATATGTAAGAAGAAAGTTATTGACTTTAGACATTGTAGGGAGACCTAACTGAGATTCAAGATATTGAAATCAGGATGATAGGAGAAAGGATGAGCATTATGATGAGAACATGATAAAGCAGATAAATAGTGATACTAAATATGAAATTAAGATATAAAATATGAAGCAAAACATGAAGTTTATTTGAAGAATGTAGAATACTCTTTTAGAAATGATGGAAAAATGTCATTTGACAATAATATACAATTATTTTTATCTATAGAGACAAAATTACAAAAAAATAAAAGTCTTGTATAAGAACTAAAATACAATTTAAAACTATCCCATTATATAACCATTTGCAAGTAGGAAAAAGAACTATTGTTGTTATAACATACTATCACGACAGAGATAAAATTAAAAATAAATTTTCATATAAAAATTAATATACAAATTTTTTACCTATAGAGACTTTGAATTACAAAAATTGATATTATATATAACACATGAAAAACTTACTTGGTATGGTTAAACTTATATAATAAACATATGCAATGAATAACAAAAATTTTAAATTATTGAATCATATAATATTATAATAATAATCATGTTTATTAACTTTTAGATAATTTAGTCATTCACAAATATGTAATTAAATAGTAAAACTTCAGGTATATTTTAAATAATATATTACATTTATTTTTATTTTTTTTATTACATCTTATATTATATTATATTTTTTTCTTTTTTTTAAATCTTTTCATCTTACTCTTATTTCTACTCATTTAACACTCTTTAATTGGTATAAAAGAAAAATCACACAAAAATAGATACTACAACAAAAAAAGACATTGAAGAGTCGCTCCACATTATTTTGAAAAGCAAATCAAACTAATCTAACAAGCATTGATGTTCAAAGTAGATGTACTTTAAGAGTGATTTATCCAAGTGTCATTTGAAAAGTTATTTTTATAATTGTTCTCTTAAATATGAACCAGAAATTTAAAATTTTTTTCTTCATAAGATACAAATTAAAATTAATTTACTATTATGTTTAAACTTGTTAAAATTCAAAATTTTGTTTCTTTGTAAGTTTTTTTCTTATCACAAGTTAAAATCAATTCTTTGTCCGTTAAAATTTAAGTTTGTATATTGTGTTAATTAAATAGTCTACCTTTAAATAAATAAAATATTAGTAAGTAAAAAAAAGATATCAAAGCAACAGAAAGTTTGAAAATGTTAATATAGAGAGAAAAAAAAAGATAACAGTGAGTAATACATCAATCCCCTTTTAAAATAAAATTATATTATTTAACAACAAGTGTAGTCGTATAAGTATTATGTTAACTCTTAATTTATGACATCTATCTATTTTAAACGAATTTGAAATTAAAATGATGTATTACTCGCTTTATTAGCCTCCCCTTTCAAAACGGCCATGCATGGAATAACAAATCTCCAGTCCATTTTGTGTTGAAGATTCTCCACTCTATGATAAGTGATCGGAGGTAGAATCAAGATCCAAAATCACTCGAAGCACACAAATCCCAAACTCGATCGGTAATTAGAAGACAAAATTCCATTAGGATTGTGATGCATCTACACCAAACTCCACCCAAGATTTAACTTTCTTTAAGAGTTAAAGTTTTAAAGAAAAATAAAGAAAAAAATTTATTTAATTATAATCTCTATGAGGTTTTTGGATAATAGAAAACTTTTCAAAATATTTCTTAAGCTTATGTTTTTATAAGTTAGAATTTTTTATTAGTTCTCTTTTTTCTCTTTTCTCCTCTCTTCTTTTATCCTTCAAATCTTTTTATCCATTCTTTCTTCAAACTTTCAAACAAATTTTTTTTAAAAATTAATTACAAATGATATTATTTACGAATATATATTATTTGATTGGTGAAGTGAAGGAAGTGCTTGAAGGTGCACATTCAATTATATAAATGTCATGTGAAGGTATAGCAAAAGTTTTTTTTTCTCGCATCTTTTTCCATTTCTCTCTTTTGCAGTAAAAGGAGGAAGATAAACTTAAATATGACTTTCTTTCTTCACATTACAATAAAAAAAAAAAGCTAACAGCAGAAAATGGCTAACTATTTTACTAAATATTTAATATTCATTCATTCTTTTATAATTATTTATATCCAACGGGAAATGAAAAATATTAATTACTACAGCAATGAAAACTAAAAAGGAACCAAAGAGTAAGAGTCATAGCCAACAAGATTCATTTGAGGAAGAGCATTGTACAATCTTTTAGGGGATAATTCAATGGGTAATTCTTGCATCCTCCCATAAACTTTGATAAATGAGATTTTAACTGTTCAAAAAGTTGGATAATGCATGCATTTGTGGACCGCTTGATTGAAAAGGTTTTTAATTGAACGGTTAATAATGTTACGGAGAAAACAGTACTACAGAAAGATAGTTCTGTAATTTCTCTACTCCATCAAATGAAGAGATTAAAAACTGGTTACAAGGTAAATAAGTAAACAAGTTGAAGAGAGGCTGCAACAGAGTGGTTGCCACATATGCATGGTGAAGAGCTGTCAGAGAAGATGAAATGTCGTTGGGAAGATGGAAAGTCACCAAAGAAGCCAAAACACCACCCCAGCTCGTGTGGCTCGTAATGACGAATTTTGGCGCAAAGTGGCTATGGTGCATGAGTTCAAAGGGAGAAGAATCGTGGAATGTGGCTTGAGACGTATGACCGACGAGATGGCTCCTCCGTCCTGACTCGGCTTGACTTCTTTTCGACATGTGTGTACAGTGTGCCTCATGTCTCTTGTCTTTGTTGATGCCGATTTTGAAGGTGGGCATGGTAGGAATTGGTGATTATTGGATTTTTACATTTTACATTTTTATTCTTTACTTGTTAAAAAAGCTCCTATTAGTTATCAAATTAAAGAAAGGACGGAAGAATCACCGTGATTCAATAGCCAATCTGCATTGCAATAGGCTCATAAGCTAAGTGGGTTTGTTGTTGAAAAAAAAAAACACTTCAGAAAGTGCATCGCTCTACAGGGTACATGTGTAGGTATCATAGATCATGAATAAATTGACCTAAGAAATAAAGGGCATAGTTAACTGACAAAGTGCCTACCCTGCTCCTAACCATGCTTATTTATATGCCAACAAAGTCTTCATTCTAAATTTATCACTCAAAAATTTGAGGCAATACAGGCCTAATGGAGTTTGTGATCAAAGAAGGTCCATCATGACGAATGAGGGCCATTGCTTGTAGGAAATTACTTTTTGTCACCTTTTTCTTCTATTTGTACATAATTTAATTTTTGAAAATGTGTAAAATTAATATTTTGAATGTCATTTATAAATCACTTCTAAATTTAATTTCTGAAAAATATACAATTCAAAAATTTAATTCTGATAAAAATTCATAAATAACTTTCAAACTTTAATGTGAAATGAATTATGCACATTTCTAAAAAGTAAAATCCAGAAGTGATAAAAAAAATGAGTGATATGAATAGGAAAAATAAGTAATACAAATGACAATTACCTCCTTATCGCCAAGCTGGAAATTGATATGGATTTGAATTTATTTAAAAGCAAAAAGAGTGAAAAAGAATGCCTTCTGTCAAATGGACTATTTGAACCACTCTTTTGACATGAGTCAAAAAAGCATATATTCCACAGGTTGTTTTACCAAAAAGAAAATACCTCTACTCGTTTGGTAAAGGGATCTTTTCATCGCAAAAAGCAGGGCCTTAAAACAAGGCTTTTAAGACAGATACAAACTTTGGTTAAGTAAATAAGATTAATGGCACCAAGAAAGATGGAAAAAAGTGATAAAGTAAAAGCACTTGCAAAAAAAGACTCACAGTCTTTGCCTGGTTAGAACTGCACTTCAAAGCATTTCCAATTATGACTTGCTCCTTCCTAGACATTTAAAAGATAAAGAAAACGAGGTAGGGTAGTGTCTCCCAAAAGAAAAAGGATAATGACTTCACCAGCGTAAAAGAGAGTCCTTACATGATCAAATGTGTCATGTTACAATTTCATGACTTTTCCCCTACCACATAATGCTCTTCCCTTGATTTGGAAAAGGAATCAAAATCAAGAACCAGCTCATAGGTGCCTTATAAAAGTTTGGTTCAACTTAACTCTAGAAAAATAACCGCCTATTTTTCACAATTTCTCCGAGGAAGCTAAAACAATTAAGTAATTATTTTTCCAAAATAAACCGAATCAAATATGCTCTAAAACAGATTCCAAAAATCATTCCATATCACAGAAGATAATAGAATCATTAACTCATCAATCTTAAGCCAATAGATATGGGCTCCATACATTAATAACATCTATAGATTCTATATACACTGCCTTGAGCGAGAGGTGTGTAGCATTAATGTAATCACTACAAATTTCTAGTTTATTGTGGCAGAGGCAAAAATCATCATTTTCAGAGAGCATTGCTCTATATAGATTTAAGTACACTAAAATGAAATCACACAATCGATTCAACAAAGTAATGCTACCTGCAATCTATCTGGAAGAAAAATGAAAACCAAAACCAGCACTATGCACTAGTTTATTTGACTAAAAATGTCAATGAAAATTTGAAGCAGGAAAATCATTATATGCTCTCCTGAAATGCATGAGCGCGAGAAATAGCGGCTGGATTGGCTTCCAAGATTTGAGAGGCACCCAATATGCGATCTTTGCCTTCTTTGGATTCAGTTCTTTTCAAAATGTCATCATTTGATAAAGATTGCTGCTTCTCAGGCTTGATAGCTAACGCAGCTCGTAGAGGACTTTTTGAGGGCTCATTTGGAGCATCGATTCTAATGGTCTTTGGAACCAAAACACACTTCTCTAATTTCTCTTCATCAGTGAAAACTGTATCTCTAGTGTGTTTTCCCAGCGTTGGGGAACCATTGCCTGAACAGCAACTGTTACTAGTGGAGGAAGAAGGCGAAACGCAAGCATTGGACCCTATTGACACTGCCCCAGTTCCAGCAGCCCAAAGTGGTGTTCCGTTACAGTATGATGCTGATACAAGTTGCAAAGGCATGCTGGGTGGGTAAATGCCTGGAATTGCAGCCATTGGTGTGGGACACCATTGCATTGCAGTGGGACTAGTGCTATAAGGGTTACACGTGGATGCTGAAGATTGATTAACCACTGCCATGGAAGCAGCATTATTCCAATCTTGATTCCAAGGTAATACCCATGGAGGAACAGGGTAACATTGCAACCAATTTGACGCATTATGTTCTGATAGTTCATTTCCTTGAGTAGTACTCGTCACCGAGTATCCACATAGCGATTGTTCCCCTCCGTATTCTACACAACTGATAGAACTTGCATCAACACTTCTTCTCTGGTCTCTAAGATTAAGCATTGAATCCATCGATTCACAGAGAGGTGTATCTGGACCAAATTTCAATACAGTCCCATTATCTGTTGAAGACCTGAAAGCAGTTGAGGATTCAAGACTTGAGATATGTCGAGGTTGGTGACGGGACGAGTCTGTGGATTCTAATCTAGAGGTTGGAACTCCATCAGAGTTTACTATAATGTGTCCATATTGAGAGGCTAAGTGCTTATTCTTCCGTCTCCCAGCACCAATGGGAACATTTCTCATTGTTCCACCAGCAGTCCAATACCTTTGGCAGTTTTTGCAGAAATGGCGAGGTTGATTAACATTATAGTTATTGAAATAACAAAACTTGGTGTCCAAACTGTTGCATCGTGGACACTGAAGAATCTTGTCTGGTTTCTTTAAGATTTTATCTTCATCAGTGCTACCAGTCTCCATATTATCTTCCACAGGCTTGCCATTTACTATTCGATCTTTTTCCTGCACCTTATGCTGGGACTCTTGTTTACTATACCTTAAATCTGAAGAATTCTCTTGTGGCTGAGAGTTTTCTTCACAAAGGGTTTCTGGTTCTGCTTTCTTTTTGCTGCTGCAAGCATCCTAAAATTTTAAACCACAATCAGGGATAAATCAAGCAAAATTAAAACTAATATCATACTACAAAATACCACACATTTATATTAATATGAATTTATTTCATAAGTCAAGATCTTTTTTTTTTTTTTTTTTTTGATATCCATGTCAGGCCGTAAATAATACCGATGTCTCCATTTTTTAAGTTAAGCCTTTATGACATGAGCATAAGCTCTTATATGATATATCATACCCAAGAAAAAAATATATGTCTACCAGATGACCACTGAACATTGTCAATTATTGATTTATTATGCATAAACGCCATCACTAGAAAGAACACCAAGAAAATCACTGCATAAATTGGTTTTAAAACTACGAAGAGGACCAAATTCTATGGAACACATCAAGCCAAGAGATATAGAAGGGATTACAAGATCCAATTTGTTGAAATCAATCTCAGTTATAAAACTTTCGGTCTTCAGATAAAACAGCCATCTTTCATCACAACAAACAATAATAAAAATGTTCCAATTTTTAATGAAACAAGTTCAAAGTTATAATATTTCACAGGTAAAAAATTGCTTCCAGTGAACACCGCCTTTGTTTAAACTTTAAACAAATCTGAAGTCTAAACAAGAGCACATACACAAACATTCTAAATTAAGCCATCCTTGTAAATTATTAAGAGACAACAACAACCTTAAAATTTCATAAAATTTTGAAGCTAGAAATTAGCTCTGATAACCAACCAGAACACAACATAACAAAATCTCAAGAACCCCGTAAAGGCTTAATCTGATAAGTGAAGAAGTGTGTCGTTGGATAGAAATGAAGAAATTGCAATATATAAGTGACAAGCACCAACAGCTCAATAGTCTTAAAACTTTTTGGGTTCAACACGGTGATCAAGTGTGCTTGTATGGTAACTCCTGGCTTGTTAGCGGACATCTCCGGGTGTTTTAGCCCCATGTACACCCAATCGTAAAAATAAAAGTAAAATAAAATCCAAAATTTACGTCCAACCCATTTACATAAATTAAGGACTAAAAAAGAACATGATTTTTGAAGAAATGAACTAAAATGTTACGGTTGGCTATAACAAAAGAGTGTATGTACCGAGGGTCCAGAGTTGGCCGGAATCTGACATTCCGGCGCCGGAATCTTCCTGCCAAATAGCCTGATACCCGGATCTTTCTCAGTCTCAGACATGTTGATGTTGATGTTGATGTTGTTGCACACAGTATGAAACTAAGCACTTCCAACACCCATTACATAGAAACAGAAGCAGAGTTTAATAAAAATAAAATAAAATCAGATATGTGAGTGAGAAAAATTAAAGAAAAAAAGAGAGAGAAAAAAAAGTAGCTTTTTCTTTCTGAATAAGTTTCCACACAAGACAACTTTTCAAGGGTAGACAGACATCACCCTTGCACTAAAAACCCTCTGAAGAAAAAGTCCCACCCTGCAAAAAGCACAAAGAACGTGAGGCATCAAAGCCACACTACACTACAGGACCATTTATTATGGTTTTTCATTTTTTTCTTACATGAAAAAAACTTCTTTTTCTCTCATCTTTCACTTTTTCTATTAAAAAGTCCTTTTTTTTAAAGATTGCCTTTTTTTATTTTTTGAAAAAAGTGTTCCTTTTTCCTTTGCCTTCTGGTTTTTGTTCAAACGTAGGAGTGGGACCCTGTAATAAAACCCTTCTCGTATCACTTTGATTTCTTATTTTCGGAGTTTTAAAACATTGGTTATTTTTACAGTAAGTTTTCATTTGTTAACAGAAAATTTGCTTTGTTTTATTCACTTTTTCGAAAAATAAAAAATAAATATTTATTATTTACCTCTCGGTATTTAGATAGATATAAAATAAGAACTGGTAACCAAATAACAAAGTTATCTTATAAATAAAGCTAACTCAATTAAATATGATTTATAAAAAAAATAGCATAACAAGACAGCATGTATCCTGAATAATATTATTTGAGCATGACACACGTACCAAAAAGTGTTTTTCATAGAATAGACACTAACGTTAGTGTTTGAAAATGCAAGCTTCTTAGTCCTGATTTTGAAACGAAATTATTAATTTTTAGTGTTGTTGGGGTGAGGATTTAGCTTATGGAACGGTGTAATGTTAAGAGGGATTGGTAAGTGGCTTAGATCTTATTTGCTACCAATGATTGGATTGGCTAATCATACAAACTTCTGAATAAAAGTTAATGGCATTATAACATTGGAGGAGGGTGTTTATTAATTATTATTATGAGAAGAAGAAAAGGTGAAGGAGTTTTTGTTATTAGAAAGAGGGGAAATGGCGGAGAGAGAAGGGGGTGGAGACAGATGGCAGATGAGTCAGCAAAGAGAGTGTATAAAGATGGGGATGACGTGAGAAAGAGAAAAGGGCAAAAGTGATGGCATTGCTATTGCCGACTCGACTAGGCCCAACCTTCCAAGCAATGTGGCGAGCTTTTTACGCCGCCTTCAACGTTTCTCGCTTCGCCCTTTTTCGCAACTCTCGTTACTCTACCAATGCATCTTCACATTTTAAGATAAGGTCATCCCAAACATTCTGTTTTTTTCTATAAATATTAAATAAATCTGAATTTGTTCAATTTTCCCTCAATTTTTCTTTCTCTGGTGGTTGCAAATTTATGATAAGATATTAATTAAGTTTTACCGTGAAAGGATTAATTTTAAGAATTAAAAAGTGATTTTTTTTAGAAAACTTTACGTATTTTAATAGATATATTTTTAATTATTTAAAATTAATATTAATATTTTATTTAATATTCCTAATAAAACATATTTAAAAAATATCTAAAATTTGTCATTAATCATTACTGACAAGGGAATTAAATTATTCGTTCTTACTTTTATATTTTTTAAAATTATAAATCATATGCAAAAACAAGTTTTAATAACTTAAAATAAAATATATAGATAAAATTAATATTTTTAATTTTTACTTTAAAAATATAGTTAAAGCTAATTTGAATTAGTAAAGTAAATGACTCATGAGTAATTATTTTTAAATTGTTAGATGTATTTTAAAATTTATAAATGGTTTAAATCTTTGACCTATAATTTAATAATACAATTTTATACATATTTATCATTTAATCATTTATAAATATTTTTAAATTTTTCTTTAAAACTTCAAAACTATTATTTTGTTTCTTCAAAACATGACTTTTATTTTCAAAACGTTGTTGCTTTTTTTTTTGACTATTTAGAGGGGCTCAAAGTCCAAAAGCAAACATAACTAACCCTTTAGTCTAAGATTACAAATACTTAAAGAGTCCAGGCTAAGAAAGAAAATCAAAGAAGAAGGACCTTTATCTAAATAAGAAATATCTAAGGCAACCTCAAGGCTTAATTTGGCTGGCATGTCAGCACACTTGTTACCTTCTCTTAAAATGTGCCTAATTTTAATGAAAAGAATACATTTCAAAAAATTCCTAATAGTAACAATCAAATTGGAATAAGGATGGTTACAACTATGAATGTTTAACGCTAGTTGTAAAGCATCCTTAGAGTCGATTTCAATCTAAATTACTTGGATATTCTTCTGAACTACTAGCTGAAGACCATAGAATAGGCCACATAATTCAGCTTTTAAAGGAGAACAACACACAAGGCCTCGATAGAAACCAACAGAATATTTCTCATTGCTGTCTCTAATTAGACGACCACATCTAGCACTTTCCATAGCTGGGAATATTGCTCCATCAACATTAAGTTTCATGTGACATTGGTGAGGAGGATACCATCTATTCTGAACATAGCTACCCTGCATCTTCTTTAAGGTTTTCACCTTACCCCTGTCACAACAATTTAGATACTCAAATTCATAGCAAATTTTATACTACAAGGAATTGGAGTAGTTGCTGAATTTTGAAAAATGGCGTAATTCCTTTCTTTCCAAATATACTAGATTACCAAACCATATAACCTATACCAGCTGAAAAAGTTATTCACCTAAAAATTGGATAAATTACTAAGAAACCAATCAGATAAACCCATGCAAAAAAGAAGAGAGGCCTAATTAGAAGGCAATATGAAAAAATCTCAAACCTATTTGGCAAACCAACAATCTCTAAGGACATAAATTATAGATTCTGAACTAGTACCACATCTAGGACAAAGAGGAGAGCTAGATATGTGTCTCATAAATCTTTCCTTATTAGTTAGTAATCTACCATTAGCCACTTTCTAGAGAAAATTAATAACTTTAGAAAGACCATCCCATTTCCAGAAAATTTTGAAAAATATTATGGTTTGTGGAAAATTTCTAGATAGGGGAGCTTAATAGATCATAGACTATTTTTAAAGAAAACATACCATTACTAGAGGAGTTCCAAAAAGCTAAGTCTTGGCCTCTATTCCTATCAGGGGGTTTTATCTAGGCTATGTACTCGTAAACAGAGTTAGAGATATTTTTCCTGATCCGAGTCCAGTCACATTCTTCCTTGTCAGAGAAGATAACCACATGAGTATCCCTTTCCTCCTTTGGAATAGGCCTCTCAGCATAAGAAGACAAATTATTTATATTAGGGATCCAATTATCCTCTCAGAATTTGACTGTCAAGCCATCAGTAATGACCCAACCCAAACCCTGCATGAATTCGTCCCAAACAGCAGATATGTCTTTCTATAAATGGGAGACTTGAGCCCATAGCTCATTGGGAGATATGACTAATCTCCAAGTTAACTTCATCATATAGGCTTTATTTAATAAAGAAATGTTCTTGAAATCTAGACCTCCCTCAAACTTTGGCTGGCAGACTCTATTCCAATTGATCATATGACATTTGGTTTTACCTAAAGACACCTAAATGAAATCCCTACAAATACTATTGATTTCTCTATACACAGAATTAAGGATAATAACAGCTTGCATAATGTATGAAGGGATGGTCAACAAGCAAGACTATGCAAGAGTTACTCTCCTAACTTGGGATAAAGAGTTCATTTTCCATATTGTTAGTTTTTGCCTAATTTTGTATATAAGAAAAGCAAAATCCTTCTTGTTGGGCTTATGATCACTGATTGGAATACCTTGATACTTTCCAAAATCTTTAGAAACTTTAAAACCAATACAGTTACTAATATCTTTAATCATAATAGGATCTGTGTTTTTAGAGAAGAAAAGGGAATATTCCTCATTATTAACTGAGAGACCAGATGCTAAACAAAAATAATTTAGGACCCTAGAGATTAAATTGGTCTGATTCAAATCAACTTTAGCCATCCATATAATGTCGTCAGCAAAAAAAACAAGTTAGAAATAGTGGGAACAATATTACTAAGAAAAGGGGAGCCACTAGGCAAAGGAGATCATGGCCAATAGCGATTATGAAAGAAGTCCCAACCAACAGTACGATCACAAGTAATCGTGGATAATGGACATTAACAGTTCAAGGTAGTTACTAAGAAGTGCCCGCAAAAGGAGGAGAACGGTGGTGGTCCTCCTGCCTATGAATATTCCAAAGCGTCATTTTACAGGGGATGACTTTTTGCACCCTAACACCGCACCTAAAACCCTGCACCGCGCCAGACACCAGCTACAAGGAGACTCACGGTGACCGCTGTTCGCTGTTGTGAGGAGTTGTACATTTACATTCCTGCACATTTACCCTTCTGTATTTTAATTTATATTCATTTTACTTATTTTCTTGCATGCAATTTAGTTCTTATTTCTGCAATTGGTTTCCTATTTAGTAATTTTCTGTAAAGAACTTTTACGTTGTGATTCAATTTTACGCATTTTATATTCACTATTCTTACTAAATTATTTATTCTGAAACGTCTTTTTTACTATTACGTTAACAATACACTTAAAAGAATTCAAAGAGGACCTAATCCAGTCTCCAGATTATTCTTGAATTATTTGTTTACAAAACTGACATTTTTCACCGTAAACACCTTCACAAATTAAGATAGGAGGATTACACTTGTATTAGATGCTAAGCAATTCACAATAATTTTGGTTCAGCTTGGGATGTAGAGGGTGCTATATCATGAAGGGAAAGGTGAAGAGGGTGGCCTGAAGGGTTGGTACAATTGTTGTTGTGACGGTGATAGTGACCTCCGTTGTGACCTTGGGAAAGAAAGGTTGATGATGAGAAGAAGTTGTTAGGAATGAGATTCAGAGTGTTTAGAGTGAGGTAGAGCATGGTGCAATGTGGTGTCAACTTTTTGGCAACTTGGACCTGCACGATTTGTCCTTTTAATTTGGATTTAAAGAAAGGATCGGG